GTGCTGTCATTTAACTTCTACACAACCTCATTTGGGTTGTTCGATTCTTCCGCCTCACTACGACTTTTTGACTTCTAGATACTCCGAATCCAGTCAATGGCTCAGACCGTGTGCGCCAAATTGTGGAGGTCTTTGAGAACTCTGCACAGTAGCCCTCATCATCTGCACAAGAACGCAGCCTAATTGACTGCCCTGGGAATTGGAAAACCCCATATTCCCATGTCACGTTCCAGCTTTCTTAGAGCTCGTAACATGCCTTCAAACTCATCTTTAATGCTCCTAAACACCACTACCAGAACAACCACTAAGTCCATACTCAAATTCAATTTTTTTGTACTTTTTGCCTTAAGTATGTTTGAGAAAGTGGACAGATGCTGTGGTATACAGCACTGATGGCGAAGTCTGTGCACTCAACAGTCTATTCCTCCTGTTCTAAAGTGATATTTTTGAAAAAAATTAATGTTACTAGAGAACACTTTTTTCTGATGATTAATCATTCTTCGTTTGTGCGGGCGTGGGACTCGGTTGCTAATTTGCACGCTGTAAGGGCTAACTACATAAGACTGTGGGCGACCTCTTTGTTGGGGAGGATCTACATTCAGGGAGTAGGGTTACTCAGCAAATATTGATGTAGGCAGAATGGTATTATGTCAGCAATTACATTCTGCCTATATCATGCGCCGCTCTGCGGCTGCTGGTTGGGTTCGAGAGAGGGAGAGCCCGTAGGGCACAAGCGGACGAGGGAGTTCCACAGAAACGATTGGTCAGCGCTCCTTCGCCAAAATATTGACGTGCTGCTGACTGCCCATTGGCAGGGTGTGACTACTGCGCGGTTATACGTCCAACTGGTGGACTTCGGCCCAAGCATTAGCGTTAACTCTCAGGCCGAACCCGAGGTTTGTGCCGATGACCCTACTCAAAGATCACATAGTAGTTTAGGAGGAAATTCAGAAACTTAACATGCGAACTCTGCCCGCATTTATATTTACCTAAGATGGGAGTCCGTCGATTTTTTGCCACCGAACGTTGAGTCGACGGTCATGAAATGCTTGCCGAACCCACATTCTAATGTGGACTAACTGTTGTGCTCAAAGCCGGACTTGCAAAATGGGGAACTCTAGTGCATGCGTCAGAAGTCGACTCTTCTGCTACCTCTCCATCCCCTGTTGGGCTCACTTTGTTGACGCCATTGGCACTTGCGTTGGTCTTATTTTCCACGACCCCTGTCCACTCCGCTCTGGCCTAAAGCTTGCTTCTGACCGATTCACCGAGGTAGCGTGCTAGCGCTTGGGAATTCACAGGACGGTCGTCTCCACAAGCGTCCGCCACTCGAGGTGCCAAAGCTGGATCAGTTCGTGACCCCCCAGCCGCCCTCTTCCGATGGAAAATCTGATCTGCCACAGTGGAGCATTTCACCTGACTGCTGTAGCTTTGATGCTTAGCCTCCCCTCAAATGAGGTCGAAGAGGGTGGGGTGGAGGGAACAAATTCTTGATGATCAGACAGGGGTTGATTGGCGAGACCGCCGTTGCATGTATGTGAGCTTTTGAACCCTTACGGGAGCCCTCAAACTGGCTCATCAATAGCGGGGGCTTACTCCTTGACAAATAACTGCCTAGGTGAGGTCTTAACACCACATATTGATGGGGACACTGTACATGTTGGCACACTGCGGGCAGGAGACCCAGGACTCAGGCAGCTCGCGACCCATGAATTCGTCATCTCTAGCAAGAATTCCGACCTCACTGAACTGGGAGAACTGAGAGTTGGCATCCAGTCTGTATGCAACCCCATCCCCAGGTTAAGTGAGAAGGCAGCTAAAGATTCCTGAGACAGTCTGAATGTATGAAAAAGTTTGTGAAAACTTGTGGTCGATGCACTTTGGTCTCTTGCCTCTCTTTTGCATACAAAACCTGAAGAAATTGTACAGGTAGTCACTCGTTGTGAGCACTCGGTAAACTAATTGTACTTCGGCAACCTTGGATTCGGGTTATCTGCAGTTTGAAAAAACTGCCGTCCCGTGAGTTTTTTTGACAGCATATCCCATTATTCTCTTACTGCATATTTGCTCGTTCGGATGGATGCTAGACCGGATTTAAACTGACTGACAGGAACCGCCTATTCTCCTCCCCGTCAGCTACAAGTTTCATGGAATTGGATTGTCTTATCAGCCATTAGCCAGTCCTCCACTCACTAAAGTGCATGAACGCAGACCACTTAATTGGAGATGAGTGGAGCCCGTTAACTAAAGTGGTTGGCATGACCTATTCTCCAATGTTATGATTTTATATTCATCCAGGTAGTCATGAGAGTGATGGTGAGTCAGGCTGCAGTACGTATCTTCCGGTCGAGTTTACTTCACATTCATTTTCCATTTTCATGATGACCTTTGACCCTTGCTGTTTGGTCACGTTGGCTGCTTACCTCTATTTGTGCGGACTACCTTGTAGCATGATCATGGTTTCCCACCACATTTCAGTCAGTATATTTCTGACTATCTTCCCAAACGTAGACTGTTGTCTGTGATCCTCATAACAAATCAGATCGTTCTTCTCTAACCAAATTCATTGACTGGGTCATCCAGTGTTTGGGTGTTTTGTTTCACGTGCGACTTCCATGGCTGTTTTTACACGGGTCTGATTTCAGTATAGAAGGTTCAGCGGTTTTTGTATGAACTAAGTCATTATATTATAGTACTCCGTCCTTCTTTATTGCCTAACAGGTCATACAATAGGCAGTCTACTGCTGACTCAGTAATCACATAGTTAGGTAGACAGGAAATAGGACAGCAACTCTGGATAACACTGTAGAAAAATCATGCACCCTATAATGTTTTGTGTTCGCAGCATGTTATTGTCTATGAATTTCCTGATGTTAACAAAATTTCGCTTTTTGGCTCTTATCCAGTAGATAAATGGGCCATAACAGTGTCTTGACGAGGTATCAACAGCTGGATGATGCAGTCCGTCATTCTAGAAAATGTTAGATGCATGTCATCCCTTTTTTGCAAAATTAGGGACATTTACCAGAAGACTCCTCTATACCAACATTATTATCAACACCAGCAGAGCTAGTATCAACGCGCTAAAGAGCCTGCCCGATACCCTATGGAATGGCTCGACTGCGTTCTTCCTAACTTTCGCCATAAATGTCAATAAATTTCCTGAAAACTTGGACACTATACTCCTGTAAAACTTCACGCTACATACGAAATGCCCACCTCCCTAATATAATCTTCAGTCGCGCCAATAAGGTCAGTTCCCAATAGGGTTTTAGAAAGGTAATTTGACATTGTAGTAGGTGGGATACTTTGTCAGTCGATCTCGAAATTCTGCACGGCATCAAGTGGACGATGGCTCTCCCTGAATTTTATCGCATCAGCAACACGACATAGTTTTTTAACAATTTCCTTCAATCTTTCCTCTTATGTATTTAAAAGGTCGACAAAACGAAAGTATATTCTTCAAATGCAAATACTTGTAACGCATAGTTAGGATAGCACACGGCTTTCACAAAACGCAAATCTATGAGAGAATTTAACGTGCGCCGGGTCTTGTGCGAATCTTACATTCAAATGTCTAGAGGTGTTGTCAAGGGTCGATCGCACAGGCTACCCAGTCCTATCAAGTAATTCAAGAAGGAAGACTTACTTAAACCACAGAGAATAGCAATGCCTATCCACCTATGTATTTTTCTCCAACGGACATAGGGAAGGCGCCCCTGCCTTCATCTACTTAAAAGCAGGCGGAAGTAGTTTACCTGGGGTCGCGTAAGTAATTTTGCGGGAGTCACTGGCATTCGCACAAAAAACAAATGTCATTGAACTCTTTGATGAACGCCTAATAATGCAGGATTCTGAATAAAAGGAAGTTTAAGTCTACATTAAGTACTATCTCTGGTTCACATACGGAGAGTCTCGTATAGATTTTACGTTATCCTACGTCAGGGGTCTTTATGGTAGCATCAGCTCTTTCTCAAAATATCATCATGGTATTTGGGCACCTTTTATTTTTGTCTCCTTCACTACCTCTGAAGGTTCTTTAACAATACCTTAGTTACACGCCACTTGTATGACGGTCGCAGTCATTATGAACAAAAACGTCAACTGTATACCTTCCACAAAAATACTCCCAGCTGTATAACTGATCATTCAATTTAGGAACTGCAGAAATTCTGGTTTTAAATGTTAAATTCCTAATTTTTGAAATGATCTCTGCCTCTTGGAGACTATCATCCCTAGTTTTAACACATTCGTAGCGGTGAGTGATAGCAAGCAGGCTAGGTGTATTTTGCCACTGGAGTTTGTGAATATTCGCAAAACTGTGGACAATGGTTCAGATTCTTTACGGCATCTTTACCATATTTCGCTCTTCCGATTCCAACGACTGGGGATGAATCGACGAAAGAAAGCACTAAGGCGTGTGGTGTAAGCCGAATACTTGATCGAGTGGCATCCTGACGCTTATCACTCACGTTCGGAAACAGACTGTTTAAATTTTCGGAGCTTTAGCGAGTCGTCCAGCGCCCCTTAAACGACTACCTTCCCCATTTTTACCGGCCGTCATTTGGTCGGTGAAATAACCCCTGGTCACTCCTTCTGTGACCTGAATCAATGTTTATTGATTTGGTCTTCCCATCACGTGTATGCGTGGTTAAAGTCTCAAGAATAGGCGGTCATCCGTGCATGGAGGTCGAAATCGTTTGCGAGACGGGTGAAGGTAACGAGGCCGAGCCTTCAAAAAACCAAACAAAGTCCAATGTACCGATCCATTTGCACTGACTTAACTGAAGTCCCTTTAGACTGGAAAGCTACGAAAATTCTTGGACATTTTTAAGCGGCGTCAGTACCACAGAAGTGAAGAATACGCGGAAATGAGCATTCCTGCAGAAGAATTGCCGATGGACAGTCACGACTCTATACCACCTTTAGAACCAAGAGTCCTAAGCATATCTGAAGTTGGTAGATTGAAGGGCCATCGAGGTCAATCACTGCTGCCCATAATGCCACCGGCGTCAGAAAATTTTTGCTACCTTCGACCGGAGCAATTGTGTGATGAGATACCATTGGAAACTTCTCCCAACAACCTGTTCAATGACACCAACGTTGGTGTTTTGGATGTCCCTCTGACACAGCGCTATGAGACCAATGACCCCTGCGCCCACTGTGCTGCCCAGGGCCTGGATATAAACGCGCGGGATGCTCATAGGAATGCTGACGTCAGTGGACAAGGCGAGGGCCCGCACTCCAATTTCCACTCTAACCTTCGGGCAGCCTGTGAATTTCCCTACTCCCTGAAGTGTTTCCTTGCAGAGTCAGCCGCCTGGTCCAGTAAAAGCAGTTCCCTGCTGCCTCTGAAGTTGGCTGAACTGTGTTCGATTAAAATTCCCGGCGCTCGAGTTTTGCTTCGACTGAATGACCACCTCAAAGAGCAAGAGGACCAGCGTAGCTGGGTGTTGTTGATTGAAGGACAAACGTTGGGTGCAGTTGAGTCACTACTTCATGAAATTGAAAGACACTTTGCGGGCTGTAACAATGTAACTGTTCAGACAATGGAGGGGATCTGATGAACCGTATGGAACCTGTTAGGAGAACAGAGCAAGAATCGGGGAAATAATACGATTTAGTTTGTCTTTCTATCCCGGTGGGATAAACAGCTTTTCGCCCCCTAACCGTAATCCTCATCAAACGCAGTGAGGTAGCCGGTCCTGGTCTTCGAAGTGCATTATCTGCTCTATACGTGTGCATATCCAACTCGTTCTAGCGAAGGAGATAGCAGTCAGGAAGACATAAACAGAATTCGAGATAAGAAATCTCTTTCCATTAATTATATAATCCAGCACTAACTGACAAGACTAGGGGAAAAGTTGGGGTAACAACTCTAACGATTGATAAATGGGAACATAAATACAGAGATTTGTGTGCTTCTGTACACCGCCAATTTTAGTTCCCGCTCTTGACTATACAACTTTGCACGCATGTACCTGTGTGTGAGTACACCAAAAAATACACATACAAAATCTTCGTTCCTTAAAGGTGTGCTGGCCGAAGACGTTGCGGACAAAGCAATGCATTGGAAACAACTGGTTTAGAACGAACTGAAGAAGATTGTTATACGTGTAATTGCCCACATGCAAGCAACAAGCGAGAAGAAGAATTAAACGGATACAAGGTAGACGCTAGGAGGAAGAAGTTTAGTATATCAGGAAACGATAAACGATACCAGAAACAATGAGAATTACATCAGTGAGAAGATTCTTCTGGATGTGTGGGTGACGCCAATATGTCTGTTAGACAACCGGTATGGAATGAAACGCTGTGGGCAAATGTAGGGGAGAGCCGTGGAAGGGGCCGAAGTAGTGAGTAGGCATTAGCACTGCAGTGTGTTGTGGGTGGGATTTGGCAGTTAGGAGGAAAGGTGGACCGGATATTTTTACCGATACGCGGTCGCACCATCTTATGCGCGCCAAAAGCGTCCAATCCATTCGAACAACCCAGTCTAATTCGTGGGGTGCTACACAAGCATGTGTTCTGTTTTCACAATCACATTCCACTGGCAGTTAACAAATCGAACTTTCGGGCCTGTACTCCTAAAATGAGCTAAAATCCATCTGGACTTGCTTCATTCATTCATCCACCCATTAGAGCGTAGATTAGGAGGGCAAAAACCATTACCAAATACAGTCGGTTCAGAATATTAGTTCATTTTCAGTTCAGTTGAGGGAAATATAGGTGTTGAACCTTTGAACTCCCTATTTGTTACAAGGAGGCGAACTATATCAAAAATTTGAAAATGGAAACATCAAACAGCTACAGAGTTTCTTCAGATTGGCAAAGTTTTCGAAGCCAAACAGATAGACGAATTGTTCCAAGAGTTAAAAACATTAACGTTACTAACTGTGCTGTACAGTAGTCTGTCTATGGATAATTGGTGCTATCTCAGTTTCTGAGGGAGACGAATTAGATGCCAACACACTTTCAACACACAGGGACAGTAGTAAAAAAAGCAAAAATTACTTAAATACAGGCAGTAATATAAAAACATTAATAAACTGTTCGAACGAAATGCTAGACGTTGTCGGTCAGGTGGCATTATGACGTTCGGTGGTATACTGGTCCAACTTGCGCTTAAAAGCCTTGACGGAGGTGGACATGACGACATCTGTAGGCACAGCATTCCAGGCCTCGTTCACTCTGTTTGAAAAGAAGAACATCCGAATGTCCAGCCTGGCGCCAGTCGCACGTAGCTTAAGTGGATGACCTCGGAGGTTCGTTGTGGTCGCTAATTCAAAGAAATCAGCAGGTACAAGACAGCAGTCGCGGCCGCGCAGTATACGGAATGTTTGTATAAGGCCGTCTCTTAGCTGTCTGTAACTCAGTGGAAAAAGTCCGAGGATGGATAAACGTAGTGAACCCTGTCCACTTACGAGTTTGGTTGCCCGCCTTTGGACTTTCTGAAGGATGCTGAGATCTTTAGAGGTCCAGGGTTTCCACGCCTGAATAGCGAACTCTAGCTGTGGCCGTACGAAAGTCCGAAAGACTTTAACGAAGCAGTCCTCATTGAAGGTAGAGAAAGCTCTCTTGACAAGATAAAGGAATGACATCGCAGACTTGGCTACCTTGGAGCAGTACAGCGACGGTTTTAGAGAAGCCGTTACCCACACAGCCAAGTCTTTCTGGGCGTCTACCTCCTGCAGTGGTACGCCATTTAGGTAGTTAACCCTCCGGCTTAGAGATCGGGTCCTGCCGACTGGCAAAACATTGCACTTAATCACATTAAACGGCAAAAGCCAGTCGTGTGACCATTTCTCGAGTCGGGTCAGGTCTGCCTGCAAGTGCTCTTCGTCATATTCAGTTCGGATGACGCTCCAGAGTTAAACGTCATCAGCGAACATGACGACATCACAATTCAGTTCACTGACGCAGTCGTTGACGTATATAATGAATAAGGTAGGGCCAAGGACGGAGCCTTGTGGAACACCGCTTTCAACCGCTACCTCCGCCGACTGCCTGTTACGGACGTGGACGATTTGAGAGCGACCGACCAAGAAATTTTGTATCCACCTCAGGAGATTGCCTCTTATGCCTTCGTTTATTCACAGGATTCTTGTTCCGCAACATTAATTTCTGAAAATTACTTTGCTTTTGACGAGCCCGCAAAGTTTTTTTTAGAGTTTTGGCTCCTTTTCTTCTTTCTCCGCTTTATTTTAAGCGAAAATTCTTCCACTAAGAGTTAAGTTACTCCGCTTGGAAGGTGTTGCTAACATTTTCACGCTGGTTACATCTCATCCATCGCACTTAATTCTCTCATTAAGACTGATAACGATAGAGGAATCAATTATCTAGATCCGGACTTCCTTACGTCGAAATATCCTTGTTGTTACCCAAACAGTTCACGTGTATTGGTCAGGCAAACTGAAGAATATTTTACCACGCTCCGTGTAATCAGCGATTTCATGTTTTGTTCCTACGTTGTATAGTCTCTGCCGTTGGTGTCGAAAACCTTCTAGATGAAATTTTGGCTGATGAAGACGCAATTTTCCACGGCACCTGAATCTTCGAACTATTAGTTCCCATGCCATGTTCGACGCAAGCGCGTATTCGGATAAATTAGTCAACCACATCAGAGTATGTCATCCCGACGCTGTATCCTGTTTCTGCCTCAAGCGGTTGGTAACTTTTCCGAACACAATATTCAAGGCGTTCTCCACAGCTGCTCATAACAATGCTCTTCACGCGAAACACGAAGCATCTAACTAAGCCTCATCATTCTGCTGTAGCGGTCCCCGATGTGTAGGGTTGCCATCATGCCTTACAACAGCAATACGTGAATTAAGTCGTGGTGCTCTAGACGATTTGAAAGACAGTACGGCTTCTGCGCACCGAAGTCACCTCTATATGCTTCATTATCCATAATCTCAGGTCTACCTGAAGTTTACAGTATCGACGCTAAAGTCCTCAGCCGCGCGATTGCCAGTGGCATTCTTGGTGTTGATATCATCGCTGTCTTAATCTGAAAATCCAAATGAACAACCTATCATGCACACTTCACGAGCAGTAAAACGACGAGGTTGGTCAGACACAGACAAATTGCCCTTTCGAAATCCCTGGCAAGTCGAATGGTCTTTGGTTCCTCACTGAGACAGGAACGCAGGTAAACGACTTTCGACCTCCCAAAGAATGCATCTTCATACCCTGACAATTTTCACTGCAGGCTGCAAACAGCCCGTTGGCAAATTTCTTCGGACTTTGTCAACGTTGTCGGTGGGTATTGATTCAAGTTGATGTTTAATCAGGCATTGTTGAAATTGGTTTCTTGTCATCTGTCTGTTTATGGGTGCATTTAGAACACTCTAAGCTCATCAATACCATCATCCAAATATGATCATGACATTGTTACTAAAGGGCGACCCGTGTACTATCATTCGCGCAGATTTGGACAAGGGGTACCTCGACTTGCAAAGAGTGAATCCGAACCCGTGATGTATCTGGAGGTCATTCACCCTTAATCCAGTTCAGGGTAATTAGGAAAATGACCTTTGATTAGAGACCACGTGGTGGCTATCAGCTTTGAGCAGAGGCATTGTCCTAGATCAGTATCCAGTCACATATATCAGCGAGTTTTCTCACATTCTGATTGAAAAATCATCTTTTCTAGGGTAGTCTTCGTGAGAGCGTCCCATCGTATTCTAGTGACGGAGGTAGATATATGCCGAGGATTGCAGTAACGACACATTGTGGTCGGTTTGAATTCCTTATCGCGCCCTTTGGTACGCATGGGGCAGTCCGATCACTCCAAATTATCATCGATGGGGCGTTATAAGCTCGTCCATTGCCTTTCGGCTACATTGATTATATACTCGTACTAGGTAATTAAACCTGGAATACTCATTGCACACCAATACGTCAGTACAGTGCTCTAACACCGTGGACTAAAACCAAACTTCAATGCATTAGACGTCATTCCCCCCAGTTTTCCTAGGTATCAGGTGCCTTTCTGTCGTTTCTTTGGAATGATCAGTTAAACTTGACAGTCTTATTTTAACTGTGGGCATTCGCTGGCACCCCTGACTGATATCTTTAAATCTAAGGCAGAAGTGATCCAAGTTTGGAAGCAACCAAGGAAGCTCTTGCTGATGTCAACATGTTTTATTACCTCAGTCCTAACCCCAGCGTGCAACGGATTCTGACAACCGAGGCTTCAAGCAGCACTATCGATGCCGTCACACATCAGCAGGCGCACGACGAACTTCAGTCATCGGTCTTTTACTCACAGGAACCACAATCGGCTCAGACTCGATATAGTGCCTTCTTCTATGAACCTCTAGCTGCCTATTCGCTTTTAGAGGGCAGGAATTTCCGGGTGTACGTCGACCACAAACCTTTCACTAACACCCTCAAAACTATCCCATGTCGAAATTCGTTCAAAGTAGAACGCCAGCTATGTCCGATTCCCTATCTCACTATTGACACTCAGTTTCCTGGAGCAATTGCATCATTGTTACTGGTACGTTATTCGAGCCGGTCATCAACTCTCTGGCATCTAACTATGATCTTATACAGCCTG